CAGGATAGTAAACCAATATATGAAAATCAGTTGCAGTTCTATAAACCATCATAAAGAGAAATTAAGAAAACAATTCCATTTACAATTGCATAAAAAAAGAATTAAATACTTTGGAATGAACTTAACCCAGGAAATGAAACATCTGTACCCAGAAACCTATAAATAAATGGAATGATAATCTGTGTTCATAGATTGGAAGAATTAATATTGTTAAAATGTCCATACTACTGTAAGCAATCCACAGATTCAATGCAACCTCTATCAAAATTCCAATGGCATTTTTCATGGAAATAGAACAATCAATCCTAAAATTTATGTAATCACAAAAAACTCCAAATTGCCAAAGAACTCTTGATAAAGAACAAAACTGGAATCATCACACTTCCTGATTATTACAAAATAATTCCAATAAAAAACTATGGAATTGGTATAAAAGAAACATAGATCAATGCAACAAAACAGAAAATGCAGAAATAAACCCATAAATATATGGCTAATTAATTTTTGACACAGGAGTCAAGACTATACAACAGAGAAAGATAGTCTCTTCAATCAATGGTGTTGGGAATACTGAACAGCCCCATGCAAAAGAATGAAACTGTTCCCCATCTCACACCATACATAAAAATCAACTCAAATGGATTAAAGACTTAAATTTAAGACTGGAAGCTATAAATCTCCTTGGAGAAAACATAGGGTAAGCTTCTTGACATTGGTCTTAGCAATGATTTCTTTTTTTTTATTTTTTATTTAACAGTAAGACAAGCAAATATAAAGAAGGGAGACCACATCAAACTAAAAAGTTTCTTCATAGCTCAAGAAATAATTAACAAAATAAAAAGGCAATTAATGGAAGGGGAGGAAATCTTTTCAAGCCATCTATCTGATATAGAGTTGATAGCCAGAATATATAGAGAACTCACACATTTCAACAGCAAAACAACAACAAACAAAAAAGAAAATCCAATTAAAAAATAGAGAAGCTGAATAGAAAATTAAAAAAAAAAAGCCATTCACATGGCCAACAGTACATGAAAAGATACTCAACATCACTAACCATCAGGGAAATGCAAATCAAAACTACAATGAGATATCACCTCATACTTGTGAGAATGGCTGTCAGAAAAAAGACAAGCGAAAACAAGTGTTTTCTTGTTTTCTCAAAGATAAGGATCTGGAGAAAAGAGAACCCTCCTGTACTGTTAGTGAGAATGTAAATTAATATAGCTAGTATGGAAAACAGTATAGGAGGTTCCTGAAAAATCAATATAGAACTACTATATAGCTTAAGATTTATATTTCTAGGTATTATATCAGAAGAAAATGAAAACAGGATGTTGAAGAGATACCTGCATGGTCATGTTTATTGCAGCATTATTTATGATAGTCAAGTTATGGAAACAACTGAAGCATTTATTGGTGGATGGATGGATAAATAAATTTTAAAAATATAATAAAATATGTATATACATGGAATATTATTCAGACATAAGTAAGAAAGAAATATTGATGTTTGCTACAATATGGGTGGACCTTTAGGACATTAGGCTAAGTGAAATAAGTCAGACAGAGAAAGATAAATACTGCATGGTATTCACTTATTTGTGAAATCTAAATAAAAGTCAAACTCATAAAAGTCTTTGTATAAATTGGTATTTTGTTATGCAATCATACATTCACTTAAAAAAATCAGAAAAACATATAACCTAAAACTCTTATAAATCATTCAATCACTCAGAGGTAAGATTGTTAACATTCTTTCAATAATCATTTAAATATAGATTGTAGGTATTTTAAATAAAGACAGGGATATACTGTAAAATCTTTGTAGTCCATTCTTTATACTCAACAATATGGTGTGAACAAAATAAAAATATGCTCATCAAATTACAGATGCTACAAAACTGAGGAGAGGAAAACCCCGTGTTTATAAAAAATCAGAATCTGGAACAATCTAACAAGATCTGGGGTCAAATTAACAAGATTAAATTTAACAGAGATAAATTTAAAGTATGAATTTAGGTTGAGAATTAGTCTAGGTCTTAATTGTCTACAAATGTTATATGAGTCACTAATTTCACTTGTTTTCAAAAAGCTAATGTTGCTTCCTAACAAAACCATGGTGCTTAAATAGGAAGGACAAATTTCCTATTCTTTTTTTCTTTTTCTTTTTCTTTTTCTTTTTTTTTTAAAATATATTTTATTGATTTTTTACAGGGAGGAAGGGAGAAGGATAGAGAGCCAGAAACATTGATGAGAGAGAAACATCGACCAGGTGCCTCCTGCACACCCCCCACTGGTGATGTGCCTGCAACCAAGGTACATGCCCTTGACCGGAATCGAACCTGGGACCTTTCAGTCCTCAGGCCAAAGCTCTATCCACTGAGCCAAACCGGTTTTGGCAAAATCCTATTCTTGTTTCTGCTGGTCTGATCAAATCATGAACACTACATTTAATTCTGGCCTACAAATTATATAAAAGATATTGATAACATTGGTCAAGACTCAAGAGGACAATTTTGACAAGTGTATATAGTCATAAAACCACCATATAATCAAGAAATAGATATAGATACACAAGCATATTTATACATACTATATTATTACTATCCCAACTATTTTTATCACCTCAAAAAGTTTGAGTGTAGGCATTTTTAAATGTCTGGGGATGACTTAGTGGGAAAAGAGCTAGGGAAATGTCCTTTGGATTTTTGTTTCTATACTTTGGACTTAAAGGTGGAGATTTGGCTTTTCTCTCATCAGTTTGAAAACTGATTTATAAAGACCATCATAAAATAAACAGGGTCTAACAAGTTCAGTGCCAAGACTATTGAACTCCATCATGGTGACCCTTTTATCATTTAGTCAGGGGAGATGGCAATTGCATGAACAAACAAGTGTTCACCATATGCTTCTCTTTTCTTCTTTCTCTGATGTCACTTTTAAGATTTTACCTACTGTACACCTTCTGTCTTCCAAATCTATATCTAGTTCTAACTTCTCCTGGGTTCCAGGCATATTATCATCTATCCATTCCACATATACACCTGAGTGTCCTGCATGTAGCTCAAATTTCATGCCTAAAATGGTACTCATCATACTGCATTCTGGTAGTGAGAAAAACTCCATATTTCTACCAAAAGTACTGATTGATACAGTCACTCACCTACTTCCCAGTAACAGGAAACTGAGAGTCATCTAGAATTGCTCCTTCCCCATTATTTCCCACATCTAATTCCAAGTTCCCTTGATTTTAACTTGCATTGGTTAGTTATTAATCTGGCTCTGTATGTGTGAGTTTGTGTGGATAGATGAACACATGTGTTATAAATTTGTAATGTGAACTTGAAATAAACCTAAACATATTATCATTCTTAATGCCAGTTATGCTACTGGCTGGCTAACAAAGGGAGAGAAATATATAAACTCATGGTTTGGTTTGTAATGTAGCACTATAGTTATTTATGTGAACTTTTACTTTTTGTTCCTAGTTACCATCTATCTATATATAAAAGTCTAAGTGACCATTATGACAGAACAACAGGAACGACTGGAACAACTGGTCAGTCGCTATGATGTGCACTGACAACCAAGGGGCAGATGCTTAGGGCAGGAGCTGCCCCCTGGTGGTCAATGTGCTTCCACAGGGGTAGCATCACTCAGCCAGAAGCTGAGTTCAAGGCTGGCTAGCACAGCTGTGGTGGCAGGAGCCTTTCCCAAATCCACAGCAGCACTACCAAGCAGTCAGACATCCCCTGAGGGGTCCTGAATTGTGAGAGGGGGCAGGCTGCCTGAGGGACCCTCCCCCCAGTGCACGAATTTCATGCACTGGGCCTCTAGTGCAGTGAAATAATGATTAAGACAATAATTATATGTCAGATTTACTTTTTTTGTAATTTTTATTCAATTGTAATTGATAATATGTCAGTCCTTATTAGTAATAGTAATGTGACACTGTGGTTTTAGCCCAACTTTTAGAACCTAGAAGTAATAAATAACAGTTGTCTCATTGTTGCCAAAGTCAAGGTCATTCATTTTAGCTAGCAGGAATTGATAGCAGGAGAAATATAATGCCACACGAATGACAAAGAAAGGTTAAAGGTAGAGGAGTGAAAGCTTTTGGCCAATTATCAGCTCAAACAAAGAAAATAATTAAAATATAAATTTATTATCATAATTGCAAGGATCCCAGAATACATAGCCTCATGGCAATGGAAAGAGCACAAGTTGGACCAAAGTGCCTTAGTGTAACTGCATCAAACTCACTCAACCTGGAGAACACTGTATGTTGTTGAAGATACCTGATCACTCTCACAAATAAAAAAATTGACATAAATATAATAATATGTTATAATTATCTTAAATTATATTTATAAATATTTATGTATATATAAATAATAACTTAACATTCAATGCTTTGCTTTGTTCTTGAGGCTCAGTTTCAAGAAGCGTTTTACTGAAATGATCTCATTGGTTGTCATAAAATACTGTTGAGGCAGAAAGGACATTCCCTCCATTTTGAAGACAGTCAAAATGAAGTCCAAGAAACTTACAGTATTTGATTAAGGATCTATCAGCAACTTAAAAGCAGAAGGCAAGCAGATGGAATGAAATCCTGGGTCTATGGCTTCTCATTCCAATTGCCATTGTGGGTCTTCCTTAGTTTTTTTTGTGCTTTAGTTAACTTGTATGTAATATAGATAGTCTTTTTGATAGTCAGGAGCCCTGTTCCTCCCAAGATTGTAATGAATAATAATAATTAAAATGATTGGTACTTGCATAGTATAGGGTGTTCCTTAAATAACAAGCAATATTATATATTAGTATTGGTCCTCTAGATCTTACTCCTTCTCTTACAAAGAAAGTAAACATTCATTTAGAATTACAAAGGCTTAGCACATGCTCAGCAAGTGACTAAGAGTAAAGGAATTGACTGCCTCATGTACATGGTACAAATGGACTGTCAACATTTCACAAGTAAGTAGACTCCAGAGTCAAGGCTAGTTTTCCAGTATCTGAAGGTCAATGATAGAGGGATGCCCACTTGCCATGTGCACCTGGTATTCTTCCTTTGTGGCAATAAACAACTTTGGATGGGCAACTGACTCAAAGTAGTCCATAGAGCCTTTACTTTCCCAGAAGAAGAGGAGGTTGGTTTCATCTGTGATGGTTTTGGGTGTCTCAGGCATCTCCTAGGATAAGGAGGGCAGAGTTGTCAGAGAATAAGATGCTAGAACAAAAGTCAAAGTTCAATTCCTTTGGCATATATCCTTAGTGAGAAACATAGCACTTTAAGATTTTGACTCTGTAATATTATCTAGGTTCTTCATTCATTTGTTCATTCAGTAAGCATTTATTACATGCCTATTAAATATATGACATCATCTACTCATAATAGTTGATTTCCTTAGTTAACTGGAGAGAAATCCAAATTAGTCATGAAGATTGTCAATGACACCAGTGTCTCCCTGTATCCTGGCGGGTGTGGTCAAACGTTATTCTTGTCTTGTCTCCAATGCAAACATAAGACATTTTGCATCAATTCTAAGCACTAACAATTTTAAAACCTCTAAAAATTTTGACCTCTAAGAGTATAAATCGTACCTTTGGGGAAACAATATATAATGTAGAAATGTTTATGTATGTATTTGAATCAACAATTGAAGGTTGAAAAAATATAAAAACACACACACACACACACACACACACACGCACACACCCCACTACACAGGTATATTAGCAGCTGAATTCTTTCTGTAAAATTGTTGATGATTGTGATCTCTTTAGACTCTATCCTTCTTGTGGTTATGAATAGAATTTAACAATACTTTCATGAAAAAAGTAAAATTCAAATTCTAACCTGAGATACTTCTTCTCTACTCTTTTTAATCTAAAGAAACTAAATATCCTTTTTGAGGTTCCCTTCGAGTTTTTAATGTCAATAAAGATTTTATTACTCAAACCTACTCTTCTTCTATTTTTTTCTCATCTCAATAAGTGGAGTTTCTCCTCTTGCTCTTTTTGATTCTGTCTTCAAAATGTAATGAGATTCTGTCTACTGCTTTCCACCTGTCCCAGCACTTCCCACCCCATGACTGTTGTTATTGCCTCCTAGTGGAGCTGTCTGCTTCCTCTATTGCTTTCCTTCTGATCTAGCCTCTATTTTAGAAAACATAAATGAACTCCCTTTTATGGCTTTTTATTGCACCTCAGAGGAAATCCAAATGCAAGGCTCCACCAATACCAGCCTCTGCCTTTCTTCCCTCCTCTCTTGGTGCCCAGCTCCTAGAGTGTCCTTCTGATCTTTGAAGCTAGCCTTTAAACTCTTAAAGATCTAGGGCTGGGAGCAGTCAGACCCCTCTTTTTATAATGCCCTTCTCCCCCCACTTCCCTTGTATGATGACATGCCCTCCTCTCCCCTCAGCAGCTCTCATCTCACAGGGAACTCTATTTTTGCCTCTCTATCTAAAGAGAATTCCCACTTTTTAAAAATCTCAGTACCTTGTCCATTTGCTTTATAGCATCTTGCATGTTGTGCTGGTTGCTTGGTTTGTTTATTGATTGTGTCCCCCAGGAGACTAAGTCCTATAAGGTTAGGGACTTTGGTGTACTGCTGCCTACACCGCTATTGGCACTGTGCTCGACAGACAGAAGGCTGTCAGCAAATAATGCTTACTGAATGACTTCATGAATGAAGCCACCGACACCACTTTCATTTCACTTGATCGGGTAAAGAAACACATGCATCACATAAATTCTAGTGAGGTTGGTGGTTGGATTATAAATTTACTGAATAAGAGTCACCTATTTATTAGTGGAGAAAACTCTAAGACTAAAGTGGGCATCTGTATTTTTGGTAGCGGAGATGGGGCTGGGATTAAGGACAATGTGGGCACCAATGAAGAAAGAGGTGCTAGAGTCAGAAGGCGAGGGATAGAGTGTTGACTCCAGCTTTTTCCCTTGTGCCCAGTGGCACATGATTAATCCTCTCTAATCTCAGTTGACTTGTTTGAGTTTCTTGGCCCATCATCCTAATGCCTAAATAATGTAAAACAGATAGTAGATATCAGTAAGGATAAAATAACAATAAATAAATGGATGTCCTGGGATGGGAGGTGAACAGGATCAGGCAGAGAAAGGAAGAAGAAGGAAGAAGGTAATTTATCTCTTATATATTCTTGCACCTGCATTTTACTCTCTCACAGATTCTGCCTAGAATTTCCCCTGGGGATGGAAGCAGGATGAGGCCAGTTGAGCCGGTGGGGGCTGTGGTAGGAAGAGAAGAGGACTGTGCACCCTGCTAGGGGTGTCTGTTGTTTGGAGTTATTTATAAATGTATGCGAAGGTAAATTAGAGACAGAGGACAACTGACCTTTAGCAATACGGGTTCGCCTTCTTTTTGCGCACTCAAAAACAGTCGTGTGTCTGAGATTCTTAGAGTCACAGGAAATTTAAGATCATCTGATTTATAACCACCCATATCAAATTTCACTGTGAAGAGAAAAGCCAAAAAGAAAATAAATATATGGTATTTGTATAGAATCAAGTGTTTATGTAGATACTCTGTCTATGCCTGTGTGTGTGTAGTAGGTCCCTCATTGTGGTGTAAGTGACAGAAATGGAACCTGGCACATTGATGTGACTTTACCATGTCTGCCATACTTAGTAGGCAGATAGACATTTGGTTAATATCCTTAGAATCATCTAAATTGAATGAATGCTTGGGGGCTAAGTATTTATTAAATCTAGAATAATTACATTAATGGGATAAGACACTGTAATTTGTGAGGTCATGAGTTCATAATGACCTAAGATGGAGGGGTTTAGGGAAGCTGATAGCCATGTTGCTAGTGTTAGTGACAAGCATTTAAAATTTTCTTAGAGAACAAAGCTTAATAAGAGTTGTAAAATTATATATGTCTAGGAACTCAGGAGTTCCACTTTTGGGATATGCTCTTCTAAGGGAATAACCTCATAGGAAAAAATGTATATATACAAAGATATTTGCAACAGAATTTCTTAGAGAAATCTCTCTCTCTCTCTCTCTATATATATCTATCTATCTATCTATCTATATATATATATATATATATATATATATATATATATTCACACACACACACACTCACACACATTGAGTGGCCAGATTATTATGATCTCTTAAAGCATAATAATCTGGCCACTCAGTGTGTGTGTGTGTATATATATATATATATATCCAGTTTATAGGAGAATTGGTGAATAGAACACAAATAATTTGTAACTGTCATAGCATGGGAAGCATGCTAGCTGAAGTCCAATCAGAGAGCCCTGCTGTTTACTGCAGAGGATCCTCTGTGGATCTTGGGAAATAATTTTGTAGATGATGACATATCCTGAAGCTAACCATATACATCATGGAAATGGTGTGATAAAACTTCTTAGACACCAAGTTTCATCCTTCAGAACATATTTGCATATTATTGGATATTTTGCCTCCAATTATGTTATATACTTGAGATAATGGTTCTTTCTAATTTGGTGTTATTTGTAAGTTTGCTGGCCAGGCTTTCTAATGAAGTGTGATGGCTCCTCATTGGTTCTGGGCAAACTGGGGTGAGTCATTTAACATTTTTGAGCCTCAGTTTCCTCGTCTTTAAAAAGGAGGATAAGACTGAGAGAACCAAAGGAGAAACTACATCAGGAAGCTGCACATTGCACTTAGATGTCCTCAAGGACAGGACACCTGCTTGTGGGGCTCCCAGGTTTGGTTGAGGCTCCTGTCTTTGCCGGGGGTTTTAACTGGGGTGATATGCATCCTTCTGTTCTAGAAAAGTTGTGCAAAGCCAAGAGTCTAGAGAGCTGTATTCTTTGAAAGTAGAAAGCTTGAAAGAAATACAAAAATAAGAGGAGGGAGAATGATTGAGTTGTCTGTTTACCTGCTTGGTCCCTATCATGTAATGTGGCAGCCACGAGGAAACGGCCCGATGTATCTCGAATGATGCTTTGATGGAGGCTGTCATCCAGGATGAAATGTCTTTTGAGGACCCTCATGAAGGGGTAACTCACATTGCCCTGGAAGCTGTAAGGAACTGATGTGGGCTGGAGGATTTCTGCAATCATTAGCACAAGCTCAGATTAGTGTCTGGGAGCAGACACATGACATGCCTGCTCTAATACAAGCACAGAAATGAGGAAACAGAGAAGTGGGATCACCCAGCCATAGCAGAGTGGATTCTAGCATTATTTCTTTTTGAACTGTGATGCTTCTATATGTTTTTAATCAGAGATTATCTGCAATTCTTCATTTTTGGTTGTTTGGAGGTTTCTAAGTAACCAGGAAAGTTCCTAATATCCCCATCTATATTTTCAAATGAATGCACTCTGTGTAAAGAAATACATATATTAAGAATTTTGTATGTTACTGAGGGAGAGATCTAAATGTCTGTCTCCCCTTAGCAGTGATATAAATCAGTATCTTCACAAATTTTCATGGCTCTGCATAATTCTACTTCTAGGAGTCTATTTTAAGGTGTAAATGGCAATAGAAATGATGGCTTATTGATATGGATGTTTGTTGTTACAAGCTTCTTATTACTCTGACTTTAGGTTTTATTTGCTCCCATACTCTATTGTCCCTATATTTGCTTAAAAATGGAAAACAAGGATGTTATTGTACTTGACTCCCTACCTTCTTCTGGATCATTGGCAATGATTTCCAAAAACAGTGTATAAATGCTTTCTGCCAAAAGCCTGAAAGTCACATGACTTTTACAATTATTTATATTGGTGAAAAATTTCCCTCTAAAATGTCCTTGATATATTGTTACTTGAAAAAACAACAACTACATATGAAATTGTAGTTGTGCATGTATGCATATAGAAACAACTATCATAGTACTGGCAGTGGTAAACTCTTAGTAGCAGTATGAGTAATTTTTATTTCTTTCTTACATTTTCTTCTACTTCTTAATTTTCTAGGTGAACGTGTATTAGTGTATAGTGTTACCTTAAACATATTTGGTTTTTGTTTCACATTGAGGGTTGTAAAATAGAGGCATGGGAGAAAAATCATGGTTTTTATCGTTAGAAATAAATTTGGTTTAAGGCTTTCCCATTTACAAATCGGGAAGGCGACTATCTCACTGAACTTAGTTTCCTCATCTGTAAAATGAGAATGTAGAGTTGTTGCAAAGTGTGGGGATAATGCAGCTATTAATCAAGTGGTATTGTTGGTAATATTAATAAAGGCAGTAGCAGCAGTAGTAATAGTAAGATTAATAACAACAGCAATAGCTGATATTTACTGGGTCTTTCCTATGTGCCAGGCATTATTCCAGTCAAGAAGCTTGCAAGTGTTGACACATTTAATCCTCACAATGCGTAGGGGCTCTGATGATCTTCATTTACAGTAGGGGAAACTGGAGCACAGGGGGATAAAGTTCTTTGGCTAAGGAGGCATAGTCAGCATGTGGAGGGATGCAGCTTGTAAACTGATACCCACAAAAACAGTGTATAAATGCTTTCTGCCAAAGGCCTGAAAGTCACATGACCTTTACAATACGGCCAAGAAATGAGCATGTGAGCAAATATTTTAGACACAGGCCACTGCTGCTTCCTTCCTGCTGGAGAGGGATATAATTTAATCTTCTTTCCTTATAGTTACCAGACTAGTGTCTGGTTGCCTTCTTGTTACTCTGACTTTAGGTTTTATTTGCCCCCATACTCTATTGTCCCTACATTTGCTTAAAAATGGAAAACAAGGATGTTATTGTACTTGACTCCCTACCTTCTTCTGGATCATTGGCAATGGTTTCCAGGTCATCATTGGTAATGAACTGATTGAAACTCAACCGTCTCTTCTTCAGAATCTTTCCACTGGCTGACACCACCACCATACTCTCCTTGTAGGTAAGCTGGGATGTCTTAGAGGTCTCGGAGGTACTCAGAGACAGGAATTGATCCATGCGGTCCTTGGGAAGTGGATCGTAGCATGCATCATAGAAGGATTTCTATGAGAAAGGGAAGTAGAACCTGAGAGGCTGCCCAAGGCCACAGAATGATAGTACTTTCAGCAGGAGTTTTATTCCATAGACTCAGTGAGAAGGAACTGCATTTTGGCCTTGGCAAACCCATGTTTCATCAGTCTTCCCCTCTCCCTCACACTTCCCTTAACTCTCAGGATTTCCCTGAAAGGATGTGACCTCTTGGCCGGTTATTGTCACCCATTAACTGACTTAAAAATGAGATGTAATAAAATAGGTTTACAAGCGAGATCTTTGTGAGTGGAGGTTCTTCATTTAGTTCTCTCTCAGGATGTTAGATTTTCACTTGTAGGGCACAAAGAGTCTAGAAATATTCCTCTAAGAACAGCTTTTAGAGCCAGTACCTAATACACACAGGCAGTACTTGTGTGGTCTCCTAGCAAAATCTCACAGGTGGTGTGTGGCCTGCTTCCTCCACCTTAGCTTCATGGGCTGTTACATTGTAGGACTCTCACTAATTTCTGGAGCTGGAGAGGATGACCCCAACATATCTCTTTAGGAGACATATCCCAAAGGGACGGTCTCAGGATGGCATAACATTCTGATGAAACCTGGCCAAGAGTCTTCAGTTCTTGGGGTTCAAGATAGTTCTGCTCTGTTCTGGGAAAATCTAGTGAGCATGATGAAGGCTGTCAACTCTCAGTGCACAGAGGCAGATACATGTTAGGGTTTGAAAGAAGCATTCTAGGATTTGAGCCATTGCGGTTCTCTTCCAGCGGAGAAAATAAGAGTGTTAGGATAGCAATCCCAAAAGAATCAGTCATTGGCTTACCTGATTCAGAGAGAGTTGGTCAATTTTGGAACTGTATTCTTCATTTTCACTGTCAAACAATATGATAAGAATGTAATTGTTATATCATTACAGTCACTGGGCAATGTATTTTAATTACCACATTATCTTTGGGTAATACACACACACACACACACACACACACACACACAGCAACTACTGTCATCTTAGAAAATGGAAGACTTCTATAAACAGACATCTATACAATGATCTGTCTCTCACTAATTTGGAATTACTGTAGTAATCATCAGGGCAGACTTTGAACATTACCTGGGTTTTATCAACAAAAACGGAGTTTGACTAACAAATTGAAGAGTTATAATTAACTTTCAGAGAAAAATGTTAAGCTTCTCAAGAGAAAAGAAATACTTTGGAAGCATCTCACTTTAATTTTAGCCAAATATATGTTATAGGCCGCTTTAATGTATTCACTCAACTGGATCTAGTCATTTATACTTGGCAGCACATCCAAACAGCACCTGGATGGCCTAGTGTGTGTTAGTGTATAGTAACAGGTAATGGGAGCACTGTGCTAGCTTAAGGCTCTATAATGTTACCTTCTTATTCATTTATGTTTCTCCTATGTCTGGATGAGGTTGGATTGTGTGTAAGCACTCAAGTACTCAGACTGCTGTGGAGCCATTCCCCATTCCAGATTGAGATCAAGAAGTTTTCTGAGAATGGTTTACCTCTCTGACAGTCCATTCTGAGACTGTGTCTGAAGAGATGTTGAAATTCACTAGGACTCATCAGACCTTAAAAATAATTTTCCTGTAATAGCTGTCTCCCAATCTCATCTCAGCTTAACATGCTGGATGCTTAGTTGCCCTGGGTCTTTGCTGAACATGCCCTGATTTTGGAGCTCGGACACATCTCTTCAGTGTCTGCTAGTCTAGCCCCATGCTAGTCACTGTAACCCGTAAGCTGAATTCTAATGTGCCTTGATCCCCTCATCAAATCACAAGAGAATCTATTTCCTACCTGTAGCAGTTCTTCAGGTCTTCAAAGAGGTCAGGAACCTGAGCCATGTTGACTTCTGAAACAGAGAACACCAGGGGCTGTGAGCCCAGCCAGTTCCTCACCCAGATGCCTTCACGGGGAAACACCTCCGCTTTGTGCTTCTTGAGAAACGTAATGCATGACTTAGCCCACGCCCAGCATTTCCCCCATTCTTCTTTTGAATCCCTTAAATGATTTGCATTGCATCTGCCTCCTCTACTAGCTTGTAAGTTTCTTTTAGAATCTTAGTATTCCTTATGTGTCTTAACTCAATGCATGCACACAGGCATTCAGTGAACTTTGGCTAAGTTAAAACACCACAAGAATGAGGTATTTGCCTTACACAGATGCAAAAGAGAGACAGTTTTTGGGAGCAGAATTCCCTGAGAGGAAAGGCTTGCTCTTCTATGAGGCCAGTTCCTCTGTTTCCCAGTTCTCCACCGGGAGAAAAAAATCATTTTCCGAAATCTGACCGTGATTCTAACTCACACTCCAAATTAGGAAAGGACAAGAAAGGGAGGAAAAGGCTTTAGCTCCAGAGAAGGCAGTTTGAGAGATAACAGTCAAGGACAAAAAGAAAAAAATATTTTAAAAGCCAAAGATGTGATAAGGACAATACCTTTGCTACTCAGCCGCCAGTGCAGTGACTCCTTCTCTGGCTGGAGACTTGGCCTGAGTCCCGTGCTTTTGCCTTTTGTCTTCTGTGGAGTAGGCGTGGCCATGGGTGTGTCACTGGGAATTCACAAGGAAGAATTCTGCTTTGTATGCTTTTATGTTCCTTTGCCCTTATAATGGCAGACGATAAACTTGATAATGTTGTTTGCAGAGATAACCAGGATTTTTGAATTGCTTTGTGTTTGTATTGCTCTGCTCTAAACAATTATAAGCACACAGTCTTAGAAAAAAAAAAAAAGGAAGAAGACATAGGACATGTAACAAGTTTCTAAAAATATATGATGGAAGAAGAAAGAGAACTCCTGAAATCAGAAGTTGGAGTTGGAGGGGAGCTTCAGAGCTATGGTTTGTATTTTGGCTTAATTTGTTTATTGTCCCCTGTGTCTGAGTATGAATGGATAGGGTACTTGGCAGTCCCTGGCAGCTGAGGGGTGGTCCTTAAGAGAAGATCCATTTTTCCCCGCCCCTGAAGAAGGAGTTTATTTGAATAGGAATAAATCACTCAGAATATGGGGTGACAACCTGCTGATTAGGGCAGGTCAGAGGAGACAAAAGTGACATTCAACTACAAAAGTCTTCATCCTCTTACTCCTCTGAATACCATCAATCCATTTCCTATAGAAGTGACAGGTTCAGGAGAGAACCCTGGGCTCTGGCATGTTACAGCCTCCACCAGAGCCCAAAGAGTGGTCTGGTCTTTTCCAGGACAAACCCCAGGAGAGTGAGGATAGTTTCAGACACAGGGAGGTGTAGGCAAGTCCATGGCCAGAGCCAGAGCCAGAGCCCAGCAGCTAGACTCAAGAATAGAGGTTGGGGAAAGGAAGGAACTCATTTCTGACACTGACAGACTTTCTCAGTATTCTGAGACTAGCCCAGTTCCCGTGGTGCAACACCAGAGCCTTAGCAGATACATGTCTTGGGTTTCCTGGTTGGAATTTAAACCACATACATTTTAAATGAAGGAAATGGATGGAAGAAGAAGGAAAGGAAGAAAAATAAGGTAAAGAGAGAAAGGTGAGGCATGGCAACATGGCATAAAAACACATTCAAGCACAGAACTGGGAGGAAGTGGCTTGTGTGAGTTGGATAAAGCATTTTCTCTGGTTCTGCGCCTTAAGGAGCTGGTTAGGTGATCATTATGGTCTATCCTAGGTGCAAAATGTCTGATTTTGCCGAGTTCAGTTCTTCCTGATCACAGACTTGGTGTTTCAATAGCCATAAACAAGAGCTACAAAAATAGCTGGCATCTTAAAGAAGGCAGTGTAAATGTAGGGCCAAATTGGGGCAGAAGGTGGGTGTCTCAGTACGATCACTGTAAAAATGGTGGTGGTAGCCAGTTATCTTCCATCCATGTCTGTGGTTCCCCTTTAGGCAATACAGAAATGTTAATCCTAGTCACCCTTTTGCCTCACTGAGATCTTGTGAGGACTATTACTAAGAAGCGATTGCAGAGCGCAGTGTGAATGTGGGCTGTTATGGAGATGCAGGGAAACAAAAATAATAGCAATGCTAATGATGGCTCTGTCACCTGGGAATCTGTATAGTCATCACTGTAATGCCTTGGTTCACCAAAGGAAAAATAGTTCTTCTGAAAATATTGGTTTAAAATCTTCAATGGGGAGGGCATTTTCAGATGAAGATCTCCATTGAAACCATAAAGATATTTAGTTTCTGGGAAGAACATGCAACACCTCTTTGGTAATTCAGGAAAATACCATTGGTTCCATTACCAGTGACAATGCCCATCCTGGCCAATAGCATTCTCTGTTGCAGAGAATTCCTCATTGTGTCGTTGAATTTCTCAAGGAGAGCTTGAATTTTTTTTTTTTTCTGGACAGACAACTCAGGTTGGGGTCTCATCTAACTTTTTCCTTCATGTGACCTTGGAAACCAGTTTTTAAACAGCAAATTATGCGGGTGAAGTCTCTGCTGGGTTTTGGGGAGGCTACTGTTCTGTGAGTGTGAACAAAGGTTGACTTGTAAGGAAGCCTCTGCATCAGGCCATTTCCTTCCAGGGGATAGGGAGAGGAACGTACTAGGTAGAGCTGGAGCCACAGTATGTTTGGGGCTGTCCTGTGACAGGGATTTTGGGTAGCTTCATGCATCTACCTCCTGACTCTGAGTAGACCTCAAAAACCCTTCTTTAGTCATTTTCACCTAAATATTTCAGAAAAAAAATCTGTGCACTTATCCTGTGCCAGGGGTTTTGCTAGGGTCAGTGTTTTTCTTTCTTGATTCACAAAATTAGATATTTGAGATGAGATGATATATTTTGGTAGGTGAGTGTATATGCTCTATAAGCTCGAAGGTTGTGTGTCCAAAGAGTCATGGCAATGCTTTTCCTTTGAAAACTGCTTTACTGTTCACAAAGAGCTCTCACCTGCATGGTCTCACTGGTTCCTTACTTCACCTACGATAAGTAGTGATCACTGTCCTCTTTCATAGCTGGGGACTCCTGAGAAGTTGAGTGACCAATTTATGGCCATAAAATTGGCAGAGCTAGCAATGGAACTCAAGTTTTTAAATTCTAAGTCCAATCCTCTCTTTCCAATGAATATAGATGCTCAAATCTCTTATCACCACTGATGTCAAGTGACAGGGTTGAAAAAAATAATCCTTAAAGGTATTTCCTGCCTCAAAACTTTATCATTCAGTGATTCTAGGATACTTTGGAGAGAGAGAGAGAGAGAGAGAGAGAGAGAGAGAGAGAGAGAGAGAGAGAAAGAGAGAGAGAGACAGAGAGAGAGAGAAAATGGGTTAAAATATTTTCCCTCCCTTTCTTTCCTCCTCCAAATAAATCTCATGTTTTTCTTTAAAAAATATTTTTATTGATTTCAGAGAGGAAGGGAGAGGGAAAGAGGGATAGAAACATCAATGATGAGAGAGGATCATTGATTGGCTGCACACCCCTCATTGAGGATTGAGCCTGCATGTGCCCTTGACTGAAATTGAACTTGGGACTCTTCAGTCTGCAGGTTAATGCTCTATCCATTGAGCAAAGCCAGCTAGGGTCTCATGTTTATCTGTGACATACAGGAAAGGGTGAAAGTGACCAGTATAATTGAGTACCTGGTTGGTGGTAGCTGAATGGGGACTTTAATCATGCTCTTGCCATTGTATCATGAAGACAGAAAACATCTACAAACATCTTTGGAACCAAATTTAAAATCATTGCATGTAGTGGAACCTCATAGGATTGCTTGAATGAGGAGAGTAACGCAACTCTGTGAATCTCAGGGATGCAGTTTGTTTGTTTGTTTTAAGTGGTAGAAAGCCTCTGTAGAGGAATAAATTGTGCAGGAACCAAAACATGCAGAGACAACTGAACCTTTGTCTCAATTTATGCCCTACTTAGTTATAATCCACTTTAAAATTCCTTGACAGTCAGTGGGAAGACGGAAAGGACCTAATACGTACTATAGACTTCCATGTTCCCTGTATTATAATACATCATCTCACTTAATCCTCTAACCAGTCCTGTGAGGGAAATATACTTATTACATTCTACACAAGAGGAAGTCAAGGCCCAGGGACATTAAGCAATCTGCTCAAGGTTACAAGGTGATCAAGTGCTGCAATGGGATTCAGACACAGAGCCCAGGCTCAATGAACCACAGGCCTTCTCCCTTTCTTAGTGTGACCTCATCCTTTCCTTTGCTTTTTAAAATTTATTTCTCTTTTTTTTTTTTTGCTTTGTCTTTTTAGTCTATTGAAGGACATAGAATGCTATGTTGGAGAGAAGGAGGCACCTCAGATACTGTCTGATTTAAACTATACTTTATAAAGGAGGAAACAGGCTCAGAGAGGGAAGAATCATGGTCCCAAGGTCACATTGAGAGTTCCATATAAGAGTGGGAGCAAATATGGAAACTCACTGTTTTTTTAAAAAAAATATATTTTATTGATTTTTTACAGAGAGGAAGGGAGAGGGATAGAGAGTTAAAAACATTGATGAGAGAAACACTGATCAACTGCCTCCTGCACACCCCCTACTGGGGATGTGCCTGCAATCAAGGTACATGCCCTTTTCTGGAATTGAACCTAGGACCATTCACTCCACAGGCCGATGCCCTATCCATTGAGCCAAACTCGTGAGGGTGGAAACTCACTGTTTCTTGATTTCTAGTTCAAAATATCCTACTATCACCTACTGATTCTAGCTCTTCATTAAAGAAGGGTAAGGTGAAGGAGTCATCTCACCCATAAGTAAAAAGAGTTAAAAAGAGTGACACTCCATTTAGTGGGAAAAACTGGCCATGGTAGCTGCTGTCCTAGAAGAGGACAGTGAAGACATTCCTGAATGAGCAGATCAGCACACATTGAAATCAATGGAATGAGAGCATCGAACAGAGGA